ACTATAGTTAAATTTAAAGACTTTACTATACTAAATTAGTCCGTCAAAACTAAAATATACTTTAATACATTAACTTCAAGCTCGTAATTTATTTTAACTGATGTACCTATATTTGCGATTTTAGAAATTATCCTTGTTAATTGTGAATTTTGTTATAATTTATACCTATAGCTGATGATAATAATATGATGAGCTACTAACTAGCTTTTAATTTTTATCTTTCTTTTATAATAATTTTTGTATATATTTATATTCATTTTATTCATTATTTTCAAAGATAAATTATTAGCAACAATATTTAAGGGCCCTGCAAACCCAATTCATTTTTTATCTGAACGACCTTAGCGACTGACAAAAATTAAAGCACTTCTAGTGGTTCGATTTAAAAAATGTAAAGATGTTTTAATTGTTCAACAAGTCTACTTTGCATCGGTAGAAGCTAGTTTTTATATTTTAGATATTTTTGAATATATTTAATAATAAAAATTTATAAACTTATAAAATGTAAAATATTTATTCTCGTCAAGAATTTGCTAAAATGTATAAAGTACTCCACCGATGCAAAGTAAACTTGTTTACCAACACAAACATCTTTACATTTTTTAAATCGAACCCAGGGACTTTTACTGAACTGAATAGAACCGGCTCTGGAACCCCAAAACCCTTAAAGTATTGAGAACCGGAACTGAATTTAAATATTTTCAAATAACCGGAACCGCAATCGGAACCCATATTTTTAAATTAAAATATTTTAATGTACCTCGGTATATAAAACATTTAATTTGAAGATACTAAAGAATAAATAAAATATATACATTTTTGTAATCATTTAATACTTGTTTTAATACTTGTGATGGTAGGGGAGTATACACACACTATAATGATCATTTACTACACACATAAAGATGATCAGTAATCACAGGAACTAAATAATTGCCTTAACACAATTCCTAAAAAAATGACACATTTGCAGGGGCCTTAAATAATTTAATACTATAGATATCAATATGATGTAAAGGAGGAATCAACTATTTTAAAACTAGTAAACTACACCAAAGCTTTCAACCATAGTCTTTATGTTGAAATTGTTTATTTATAATCGTCTTAATAGATAATTAAATAATAAAATATCAAATATAGGTACCTACAGACACTTAAATTTTAAAATTAGATCGATTTTATTGTGAAAAGAGAATGAGATAAATAACTTAAAACATTAATATTAAATGTTAGCTGTATGATAATATATATTTCATTCGAAAAAAAACTATAAAACATTTTAACCACATTAGCTGAAAGTATATAGTTCAAAGTTATTATACGCAATAGTCAATAGTATAAGAAATTTATTAGTTGGAACCATTTGAAAATGTCATAAATATATGAACTAAATACACAAAAATATAATATATTGGTTACTCGTGATTACTTGGTATAAAAATATCTAAAACTCAGTAGAAAATTGCATATTATATATGTATTATACGTGTAATAGTGTAAACCCCTGTTTGAAAGTTGACGATTTAAGATTTAATTAGTTTGCAAATCCATAGATTCTATACAGATATTATTGAGTTGGGACTATTTAATTTATATGCTTTACAATTTTATGGTAATCAATAGTCGTGATTGACTTAACGGTGTAACTATAAGTATAATAATTTTTTATTTAAACTTCTTGAATTATAAGTTGAATACTTATATTATATCATTGCTATAATACCTACTTTAAAAATATTATATAGATTAAATAGATCTATACTTTCAATAATTAGTAATTACAAGTAGCTTTACAAAATAAATTTAAAAACGATTAAATTTAAATATTTATTTATTTTACAAAATGTATCAACCAATAAATTTGATTATTTATAGTTATATTATAATACTATTATCATTATTAGATAAAGGTAGGTATAATTGTTATATTGACTCACATATTGTATACCAAATAAATTTAAAGATAAAGTTAGGTATGAAATATGACGTATATAGGTACATAACTTTTATAAAACTTTTCAAATTTTAAAGTTAAATACTTATTGTTTATGATAAAAATTGTAATCTACCGTTTGTATGAAATATATATTCTGTATTTTTACTTAGAACTTGTATATTTTAAGACAAGCAGGTCTCGTGATTATATAAATACTTATTCATTCTCAAATCATAATTCATAATTAATTGTGTTTTCTTTTAGAGATGTATAATACATACTATATTATTTTAATGTTTCATTTGATTCATTACATTTTCTTGTTTTCGTTGTTTCACATGTGAATGTTTTAGTTTTTAACCAGCTAGTAAAATAAATAATATAAAAAATAAAAAATAAAAATATATTTATATGTATAATACTTTATTATTTTTCTATTATACCATTTGGCCGAGTTGTATTTTCTGCCAATCAACCAACAAAAACATGTCAGATTTTAATTAAAACTGGTAATAAATATTAGTTTATATTACCCACTGATATAATATAGTTTATCGTCGGTTCGTAAAAAATATCATACCACTATAGTATAAGTACCTATCCTTATGTAACGTAAACAAGTTACGCGGAAATTTAAATATATAATATAATTCCAAGAAACCTTTTGAGAAACAGAGCAAGCAGTGTTTTTAACAGATGTAAAATATGAATTCGTGTAGGTACATTCACTTTACTAGGATTGCGCGTGTTTTCTTTACGGGGGACAGAAATGGTATTAAGAATATATACTGTTGGCTTTGACCATTAAACTTCGTAATAAAATTTATGTAACGTACCCAGACGAAGATTTGTACCTAAGGAAAATGTCAAATACGCACATAACAATGATATACCTACGGAAATAAGAGGGATGATATAAATTTCTGGAATTATACACTCGTATTGCTCGATAGTCTCATCTAGCGTGGTACCATGGGAATCATGAGACTATGAGAGGATAATATTTTGATATTTTTTAAAATTTTAAAATTTAAAAGTTATATATTTCCTATAAAAACTGTTTGATCAGTAACTTACAATAAAAAAAGATTTTATTTTTTTGCTACCTTACTGTGTCCCCGAATAAATAAATTATAATTGGAACTTTGTAATGTTATCAAATCCGTCTATACATATTAAAATATAAATGATAATAATTCATTCAGTATAAATAATATATAAATTTGACTTATTATTTCAATCAATTGTACATCACATAAATGCATCTTATTTCAGCTCGTTTGTTCTATTTATTGTTTCCTATATGTATACAAGGTTTAAAACTAAAAATTAAATCCGTTTAAATAGAGTTTAAAAGGGGGTCTGAGGTACAGAATTTAAATGAATACTCAACGACGACGAGACGTTTATAACGAGGGTGAAAAGAGAAATTTTTTTTTAATAATCACGTGAAACGAACGTCATCACTCACTTTACCAATGACGTTGTGCATGTATAATAATATTATGTAGGTATATTATAGCTATATAGTAATATTATTGTCTTGTTTTTATCCGTACAATAAACGTCAAATAAAATATTATAGAATATTACCTATATATAGTACGTCTTGGCCGAATCGATTTCGCTCACCGACAGACGGATACAACCTGGCGATGATCGACGATATTCATAGTAGATGCTCAAGAATAACCTATATATTATTGCCTGAGCTATACGTCTGATGACTCAAATGAAATTCACAAACTATTCTTTGGCTTAAGAAAATAAAATATATTACTTAAATTAAGGATGGATTTACTTAGACCTACCTAGCTCAAGCGTTGCGTTTAGTTAACAACGAAAATTTATTTTTTCATTATTAAAATTATTAGCTTTAGCAAAAGGTAGGTGCTTATTCTTAAGCTTTGATTATGAATACAGCCCTAATATGGCTATCTTAAAATATGTTTTTAAATATTTATTAAACGGCGAAAGAAAATAATATAATTTAATATCGTTATCAAAAATCGTTTATAGACTGGGTGTAGACCTATAAACGAATGGACAACGCTCGGAGAGAGAGAAATCGGGAGTACGATATGGAGTTAGTGAGAAAAGAAACAAAGTAGTACAATTTATACAGTTCATTGTGCGGGCTCCTTCACTATACAGTATACTTTATGTTCTTTCTCTCTCAGTTATATGGTTATATGATCACCTAGGATTGTCCATTAGTTTATAGATCTGTGGCGTAAGGCCAGTCATGGGCCTGGTACTGACTGGCTTTGACCCGCCGACTTGATACAATTTAAATAAAACACTTTATTGCGTAATATCAGAATTTTTATTCATACTCGTCACTGATTGTATTATTGTTTTATTGATCGCCAATAAAATGTTCTAGTAATATTAAATTATGTTCACCAGATACGTCGTCATACGTCAAAGAACGCTGTGTAGGTATAATACACGGCAGTTGTAATACACGAGCTGCGTACGGAATAATTGGCGCGCGTGTAAGGTAGGCTGCGGGGGTCGGACCCCTCTCCCGGCCGACGCGGCGGCGGCGACGGTTGCCGCCGACGCCGCCGCCGCGTCACCGGCAATCCGTTCGCGAGCTAGTAGGGTCCAGCCACCCAGTCGTCAGTCGATCGCTTCGCTGATACGTCGTGCGGCGTTCCGTTCGAGCTGCCCTCCTGCGTGTTATATTTATTCGTTTTCTGTCGATTTTTCTCTCCGCGTGTTTATAGTAGTTGACGACCACAGTTGATTTCTCGCCGTCGGACGCAATATTTTCGGTATTTTTTTTCCAATCGGTTAGATTTGTTGTCAATTTTTTTACCGATTAATCGCTGTTCGTTTCGATCGCCAAATAAATCTGCCACAAACACAATACCATAACTCATACGTCGTTCGGATCGCGCAATCTCGCTCTGTACCGAACAATATTATTGCCCGGAGTGTTTTTTTTTCGACCACGTACAATATTATACGTAGTGTTTACTTAAGTCGCGTACGCGATTCATTTAGAAAACATCGACAGTAGATAACTACAATATTGATACATATTATTTATTTAACAATGAGGACCGGCGCTGGAGCCGTCGTTTACGCGATATTATTGCTGTGTTTTGGCGGCACATTCGCCCAGTCCACAGGTGAGTGTCTAATTTTATTTTATAACAATTATAATAATACATCGTGTACCTACACTATAATCCTCTAATGAGGTGACAATAAAAATAGATTTGACGATGTGATAATATTATTTTCATCCGTCGCATTTTTATCGCCTGCCGCGTATCACGGGTATAGGTATTTCGACTCGGACCCACCTCTCCTCGGCGTCATCAAGTCATCAAAAATTCGTTCGATGTAATATTTTAGACGAGCGATTATAATTAGAGTTGAAAAATTGCTTTTTTCTCCTCCGTTGAAGGCACAAAAAGTTTCCGCGTATAGGATAGGAAGTATATAGGTAGTAAAAAATCACTGATGACAATAGATATTTTTTAGGAATAGGTACCTAGGTACCATCTAAAAACGACTTATTTTGTATAGAGTGAAACTAAAAAGTCAAAATTATTAATGTATAGCAAACATAATTTACACAAATCATTTTATATACATAATAATATATTAACTGCTAGTAAGCCGCAATTAGAATCTTATCGGTTGTCAATACGGGAAAAAATGTACTTTCAACCAAACAGGAAACATAGGTAATTATTAGTCAATGAGACATTGACCATATTTTTTTTTTTTTGTACAGTGACATTAAAATTCATTGCAGGTACATATAATATCATTAAAAAAAAAATATATCACATTGGTACACCAGAGGTTTTTATTTCATCTTACAAGTTACAATATATGCCTATAGTGATTGGTACATTATAAATGTTTTTAAAAATTGTTGGTGGGAATACAAACACATAAACACCTGGCCATATTAGGTTTTACGATGTACGTATAATAGTAGTTATCGACACGTGCGTCTGTCGTTTTCCCGCGGTTTTCGCGTGTGCTCAATTATTATTATTATTGTTATAGTGATTATATTTTATATTATTTTCGTCAAAATACGTAGTAAAAGTGGGAGTTTACCAATTGCGCTTAAAATGACCTTTTCATATACCAATTGCGCTCTAAACATTTTTGGGTCAATATACCAATTGCGCTCTAAAAATTGTAGGGTCGATAGACCAATTGCGCTTTATACATTTTAGGGTCAATAGACCAATTGCGCTCAAAACATTTTACACTACCTAAGGAAAAGTTATTAGTTAGTTATTAATTATAATCATATAATACATTATTATACTAACCGATTTTTTGAGAGTATTAATGTATAATACATAATATAATATAAATAAATAAATAATTTTTTTCTTCACATCATCTCATAATTTGAGCATGGCATTACAATTTAGAAAAATATAATTTGGTTAGTTTACAGAATAATATATTTGTTTACCACTAGGTATAATAATAACATGATGATTTAAAAAAAGTATAATATAAATAAATGAATAGGTACCTACACTAACCAGTCACAAGTTTTAAATTATTTTAAAATAATTAATTTGGTCACCACTAGGTATAATAACAAAATGATGATTTAAAAAAAAATATAATATATAACACAAATAAATTAATAGGTGGGTACACTCACTGGTCACAAGTTTGATTGTCAATTATTCAAAATTAAATTAATAGGTACATAATAATATTATAATTCACATTTAAACATTTTTACAATAATGATAACACACAATTTTTTAAAAATTCGTTTCTACTAATTTCCCCAGATTTGTATTTATCGATATAAGAATTAATTGTTAATTTTTTTTTTAAATATGCTCTATTTGAAATATATTTTTCTTGGTCTATACTATTTATTGCAATATATGTGCTAGTCAGCTAGTCTGCATAAAATTCCCTATATTAATATATATAATAATAGGTAGGTACACTAATTTGAGCATGGCAATTTAGAATAATATAATTTAAATACAAGCGCAATTGGTATATTGACCGTAAAATATAAAGAGCGCAATTGGTACACTGACCTAAAATATAAGAGGCGCAATTGGTACACTGACCCTAAAATATAAGAGGCGCAATTGGTACACTGACCCTAGTATAAAAATTTTGTTTTAGGCGCAATTGGTCCATGCCCGTAAAAGTAAAATGTTTCCATGTGTAGGCATCGTAATTTGTATGTCCAAAAGCGTGCAGTTTTGAGAAGACGTGTGTACGCGGTATATTCCTTCTAGTTGCCATGTTATTTACCAGTGAATAAATTAACCTATATATTATTCTATATTTCTGTATGCATTTCGAGAAAACTCGGAGAACGTTAAACGGTGCAATTCCTCTGATTACGGGGGTGGTAGGTTAGGCAAAACACCCGATGGCTGTCTAATGGGGCAAAACAGCGGAACTCGGGATTTGGCGTGTGCGGCGTGGGTGAAATTGATGGTATTTCCTATAATATATTATATACACCACTTCAAGTATTATATAAGTATACGATATATTATTATATTATATATACGAGCAGAGGTTAGATTAACGCCTCTCGACTACATACGCGGAATTCAAATTTTATCCGCTACCACCTCAGGTAGTCACATCAGCGGGTGATGAATTGGCGCGGGCATGACGAGACGCATCTCGAAAAATTACTTACACCACACTCGTTACATCTTATCGAAATATAGTAATAATGTGTTGAAGTATGAAAATCACTGCTGAAATGTATTACGTTGTACGAACGTAACACAGAATTCTCTGAATTGCCGAATCCGATTAAATTATTTTTATTTTTTTGTAATAGGTAGTAGTAGGTTAGGCGTAGCACCAAATAGGTAAAACAATTTTTAACAAGTTGTAACAGACTAATAAAGTGCCAAATATTTTAAATTATTTTTCGTTAGGTGGAACAATTTTAAAATAAGTAAAAATGTTATAGCCTCGTGGCCCATAGCAGCGGTTCCCAACCTTTTTAATTGTGAGCGGACCACCAATTATGTACAAAAAACTTCAAGGCCCACTTACAGGTATAAAATATAAACAAGCACATAAACCGAAGACGATAGAAGAAATAAAGTCGTGTATAAAATCATATAGAAATCTCCGAGGAAATCTCTATGTTGATACTAATTAAAATCTGCTGACCCTTGGCTTATAGACTCTTGACTAGCATCCTCGGCCCAGTGACACATTGCTGGTGACCCACAAGTGGGCCCCGGCCCATGGTTTGGGAACAGCCGGTCTATAGGTATTATTATAGGCCTCTTATTTGGCTATAGATTTTTCAATATTTATTTTTAATATTTTTATATATAAAAAAAAGTGTACATTTTGAATACATTTTATAACTCAAGATCCACCAAACCGATTTCGATAAAAATTTCAGGGCATATTAAGATTAATATGTAGATAGTTTCTGTGAAGTTTGTACGCTGTGCGATTAGTGGTTTCGGAGTTATGGCCTCTTAAGTGCACACCTGGCGACATGGCCAAAAAAAAAATAATAATAATAGTGTATTATATTTTGGTTGCTATTGGTTAATCGGACATGTTTCTTGATTCCTATTATTATTATTTTTTAAATATATTTATATAAAATTGAATGTTTGTGTGTAGATTAGACCTCTGGGAAGAAGATTGGCTAATTTAAAAACGGTTAAATTAGGTTTTTTTTTATTCTTCTGATTTTGGTACGGTTAGGTTAGGTTAGGATTTTGTATTAACTGATTATATTAATCCACCATAGGTAGAATACGACAAACTTTGTATAACTTTGATACTTTAGAGTTAAATCATACATTTACGTACAAACAGCATGGGGTCCGGGATCTACCGCAGGTAGATTGCCTACCTTGATAATATGGTTATACGACAAAATATCTCCATTAAAAATATCTCCGTATATCTCACCATAGGTGGAATTAAATAAAAACGACAAACTTGGTAAAACTTTGATACTTTAGAGGTAAATCATGCACTTGCGTACATACAGCACGGGGTCCGCGATCTACAGCAGGTAGATTGCCTACCTGATAATGTACTGCAGCGAATCAGAATTTTTATTCCTGGCAACGGAAAAGTTAAGATTGAAACCATACACCGATTATTAAATAACAAATTGAACAAAGTTGGTACACTTAATGGGCAACGAAGTGCATGGGTTCAGCTAGTTATGTTTAAACCTTCAGATGCCACATTATGAAGTCAGTCTGTTCTCTATTAAATAAATAACTGCATTAGGTACTTGGATATTATAGTGTAGCAACTACGTTTTTATCATGCCTTTTTAGCTTTAATTTTATTATAATCTCGTATGTCATTGCTCATTATTTATTAGGTGCTCGGTAGTCTGTAATTCATAATTCTAGTAATTTTATAAGTAAATACATTTGGAGTACATTTGGGAAAATTATATTTAACAAATAGGTAAAAAATTACAGCAATAATTGAATAACATTTGTACGTTGTACCTCATAAATTATTGATTATTTAAAACCACTTTCAGTAGAACTACAATCACTTTAAATAGGTAATCATAAATAAATAATTTGATGAAAATGTTCTCAAATATAAAGTTAAATAGGTACATAATATTATCCCTACTGTTTCCTACTGTTTCTTAAAGTTTAATTGAGACATTTATTGTCATTTGGGTATAATATTGTATGCTTTCAAATAGTTTTATAGATTATTAGTGAAAAAATATCTTTGAGAGTACTTATATCGTCATATCAGTCGATGATTTAATAGTCATAATATACTACATTACTACTTATGTATAATATGCCCACTTACCAAATATGTTGAATATTTTTTTTTTGTGGGTCTGTTCAAAAGGATATGAAATATGATTTTCGTCGAATGATCGTTTATATACTGAGCTAATTATTCACTTGACCCCAGTCCCCAACTATACCAATAACAAATAGGTATACAGTATGCGTTTAGCATATGACAGGGGACTTGGCGTCCCCGCTCACTTGACTTTTATGGAATCCCATAATATTATATTGCCTTAACACGATTATTACAAGTCGATTCGTCAAATATAATATAATATTATAATAGGTATATATTATGATAATAATACCCTCTCTGTGTGGTCAATTTCCTAATACCT